TTGAGGTAAGGACCAGTTTCTAAATGCATAGAGTTAATAAATGCTGTGTGACAAGCACTACTCTTTTCTGTCTCAATTTATATAATATATATTTTCTAATCGATTTAAAAAATATATATCAGAGTTTCTTACTCCATGGCACTATCAAAATTTATCCACATTTGATTCCACTTAATGATAATATTTCTTAAATTTTGTATTTAGTGAAATTGCGTCACTTAAATTGAAACGGAGGAAAGTAGGTCACTGGCATGGACAGCAGTGGCTTTGGTTCGTCACCAATTACCCATTAAGTAAAAGTACTAACTTCTACTTTAACAACAACTAGTTTTTTTTTGTTGGTTCCAAAACCTTATATTTTTTGAGTTTTTCGAATTTCAGAAAATTTCTGAAATTAACTTCAATTTGAGTAACGTAAAATTATACTAATTTTATGTTCAAACAATTTTTCAGAATCATGGCTAAACAAGCACATAATTTTTAGAGAGTATAAAATGTTTTGATTTGACTAATTCTTTTACGATTTATCTCTAATAATCTTTCTTTAATTTCAAAATATTCTTCCTAAAAGAGATTATCTTTCTCTTCTATTTCCATAGTTCGTTCTCTAATATCTTTTATATTTTAAAAATATTTTTCCTAAAAGATACTATATCTATATTTTATTTTCATTGTTCATGATTTTTTTATGTAAAAATATTGTAAAATTTATATTTTTCGTAAATATCCTTAAATATATTGCGGTCATATTAATAAAAAAGGAGAAAAAATATGTTTATCGTCACCTTTATATCGACTATTTATTAGAAAGTTGCACGTATAGATATTCAAAATAAAATTAATCTGATCTTTAATTTGCTTACCAACCACACATTATTTAGTTAATTCTTCTACTTCTCTCTCGCTATCCTCAACAAAATCCATTGAATTCATCATTTTTATTCAAACACATAAAATTAATTTTAATATCTAAAAATATTTTTACATTTAGTATTTATCAACTACTTTTAATCAACTAACCAAGACGGTCTCTTATTCAACTATCTATTCTCCTTTGAATATTAAAAAACAATTAATTTCGTGTACTTTTCTTCTTCATATTGAAATTCCACCGGACGGTGCACGTAAATATGGTGATAATATTTATTGTGACCTAGGTTTGTTTTGACATCATACTTCAGTTGTAATCTCTAATTTATTCAGGGTATGTATTGGAGTTTTGATTAAATTTGGATCACGCACTAGGGTCCATTGGGGTCACGTTTCCAACATATTTTTTTTCATATTCCAGACTCGAACCTGAGTCATATGGTTAAGAATGGAGCAGTCTCACTAATCACTACATCAAAAATAATCTTTTAGCGGCAATTAACACTCTTTATATGTCCCTAAAATCTTTAACGACATTGGATCTAATGGTAATTAACTAGTGCCGGTGAATATTTTAACACTTTTTGTTAATGTATATATTTATTGCCATTAAAAGGTGTTTTTGTTGTAGTGAATATTGCACTACAATCCATGTTGATTCCAGTTGTAATCTCATTAATGTTAGTAGTTTTAGTATCGCTATTTTATTTTATTTTCGTCTCTATTTATTGGATTACTTTTATTACTATTTTAATGTTTATTTTCTTCAAATTATTGGTTATGATTGATAAATTAATTTACTCCAGAAATCATACAACTCATGTTATTGGTCGTGTGACATAAATTTGGTAGTCAAACTGCCAAAAACAGGTCATCAGACTTCAAACTAGGCATAATAAATTAATGATTCTAAAATTAATTTATATACATTGACTACACCAAACAGTTCTTATGCTTTTAATATACGTTAATGTTTTAGCTCTAGTTGAAATTCGTTTTATTTTCAAAGTTATTAACAACATATATATTACGGACGGTTATATATAATTATCTTTTAGGTGTAGATATGAAAGAGTTCTAACATTGTTAGTATACTTTTAATTGGTTATTATAATCTTTTTTTTGTGTGTGTAATTAATAGATTATATTAGGTACATGTCGTCAATTATAATTTACACTGAATAACCTTATCCATAGACCACATATGATGATAAATTGTCTAATATTTTTGCTTATCTTGAAGTTTGAAATTTAATTATTTTTGAAGTTACTAATCTCACCTTTCGAAGTTAATTAAATATAATTATCTTTAAAGTAACTTGACGGTACAAGGATTCATTTACAATGACAATGTATAGTTAACCTTCTAGTTGCAATATAATTAAACTTCTTTTTTTTCTTTTCTCGATATTGTTTACTGAATATAATTAAAACAGCAGCCTCTATGAAGACTAAAAAGCTCATAGGGACGACGCCCTATATTATCTCCAATATAATTGCATGACAATTATATTACGTACTCTTGATGAGCTGATGGGATGGGATCAACAACAATAATAACGTATTCAGTGTAATCTTATACTTCCTCCGTTTCACAAAAAATGACCTGGTTTGACTTGGCACGGAGTTTAAGTAAATAAAGAAGACTTTTGAATCTTGTGGTCTTAAATTAAAGTTATGTCAAATGTACAAAATTGCCCTTAATCTTGTGGTCTTAAACATGTCACGTGGAAAGCAGAAAGTAAAATGTTACCAAAAAAGGAAAGAGGTCATTCTTTTTTAAACTGACTAAAAAGGAAAGGAGGTCATTCTTTGTGAAACGGAGGGAGTATTACTTTCAAACCGAAAAAACCAGAGAATCGAACCAAACCTACAATAACCAAATCGATGGTTATTTTTTTGTTTGATTTGATTTTAGAAATTTAAAGACTGACTATATTAATTTGATTTTGATTTTCATCTATAACCAATCCAAACTAAACCACGAACACCCCTAATTGCAATCTCGGTCAAACAATTAACTATAGAAAAGTTAGCATGGTTTCTTCCGCTCCTTTCACTTTTTTTTTTCTTTGGGGGTGAAAGATTTTTTTCTTTTTATTACCTTTTGAATCTCCCGTGACACTAACAAATTATTCTGTGTTGCTTTATTAAAATTATCATGATGATATATAATATTTATTCATTTTGTGAAACGGAGGGAGTATGTAGAGTTTGATGATAAAGAATATGCAGATTTTTTCCTATCTCACGGAGGTAGAAATGTTGTTTTTGAAAGATTCTTAGTTTAAATAGCATATATCAAAGAACCTACCGAAAAACAAATATATAACAAGTACAGAGAAAACATCACATTGCATATTGGAAAAAACAGTAACAACAACAAATTAATAATGCGATAATCAAAATACAAGACTGCCAAAAACTGATGGGATGGGATTGATTGATCAAAATCCATTGCCCCATTGCTTTGAAATTTCTTGTCTCAAAAAGTACTCATTCTAAAAAGAAAAAAATTGACAGAATTCACTGAGTACTATATTATAGTCAGAAATCAAGTATCGACAAATATAAACTTCAGACATAATTTTTTGAAATGTGAAACACAAATTGTTATAGAAGTTAATTTATATATGACATGAAAAAGTATCATAAATTAATTAATTATATATTATATAGAAGATCGTAGTATAAGATAAATTTATTTCACTCTCCCAATACATAATACTCCTATATTTTGGGAGAGGAAAATATACTTCCCTTTTTCCCAAATTTTTTTAATAAAAATACAAAAAGGTATAAACTTTGTTCCAATGCTATAAAACACCTTGATTATATACATTGTTAAAGTTGTGTTTAATTATTTTTTTGGAAATAATACTCGAATGTACTTAAATACAACTTCAAAAGTGAAAAGTAACAAGTTATAAACTAATTTTCAAATTGGATTAAATTTTTTATAATCAAACACGATCTTCAAATAAAGTGAATAATTTTTACGATCAAGCGGGTTTATAGTACATGTTTGTCTCTCTCAAAGATCCTATAAAGATTGTGCGCAGAAGATTTTTGAAAAAGAAGAAAGAACTGGTGGATAGATTTCCTATCCAGCTGGAAGGATTCATCAAAGAGAAATTACTTGTGGATTTTGGACCCACCAACACCTAATCAAATAGTGAAACTCCAATTATCCAGTCTGTTTACATTATAGCACCAACATTAAAAGTTAAAAACCATATCATCATCACTAATTATATATCATAAATTGCTAAGTTGATGTTTCCACTTAACTAAATTAAGAGGGCAGAAACTTAGGAGCTATGCAATGAGGCAAAAAGGTAAAGTCATTAACCTCTGTCTAAGCGTTCGTTAACAGTGAAATATGCAACTGTTGAACCAAACATCATCGTTTTTAGAAAATGGACAAATAATAATTTTGTAGGATGGTCAAAATATGGGCAAACTAAATCGAACCATTAAGAAAACTAAGAGAAGAATCATAATTCAATAGAACAATCGAAGTATATAATAGATGAATCGAACACCACCATTATTTTATTTTTAAAAAAAAGGATAGACAGACGATTTTTGGCAAGCCAAAGTGACCAAAAGAACGAACTAGTAACATGCAAAGCTGGGACAACTTTGACTTACTCGAATTCTACCTCGACCATCACTATGTACTGACAAACAGCGCCGTAACTAGTTTTCTTAATTTTCACACAAACACAATTCATATTTATGAAACTGATAAAAGTGATATTATTATTTTTCCCAATCCAAAATTGATGCACATGACATGATCCTACAGTCAAAAAGTGTAAAAGGCATACTACCTTTATTTTTATTTTGAAATTTTTGGAGATGTACAAGTGAGCATGAGTTCAGTGGCAATCATGACACTTCCTTGCATGATTGAATCTGAGAAACATAATGCATGTTTGACTATTCCTCCAAGTATACAAACTTGCTTTTCGTAAGCACTTTGACTATTTTATCGAGTACCTACTACCTACCACCAGCACAAACACTTGCTATACCACCTTCATTACTTGGCGAAGTAAATTTTATCTTTACTCAAAGATAAATGCAGTCATCAGCATGCAAGTTTTACTTTGTGCAAGCCGCTATGCCAGGTAATGTGCCTTCAGAAATTAAAGAAGATAGAGACAGTGATTCACCAAAAAAGAGTGATAGTCAACATTACAAGCAAAGCCAACTAATTACTATGGAAGTGTACATTTTTTTTTTATTTCCATCAACTTTATTCTCCCACCAAATAAAACTAGAAATGCTCTGGTCAACTAATATCTACTACATTGACTAAAGGTATCAGAAAGTCATTTGTTGGTCATTTAATCCATAAACACCTTTAGCCACACACCAAACATTCATAAGTTCCTGTCATTTTCTTGTTCCTTCATTGAGAAAGACCCACCATGAGGGCTCTTACAGGCCAACAGCTTCCAACTTTAGTATTTATGTGAGGAGAGGTTGTTTGAAATGAAACTCAACTACCCCGTTTGAAGTGTTCTTTTATGAATTTTTCAGCATAAGAAGGGTACTTATCTCGAATGTACTGCCTAAGACACTTCTGATAGGAAAAGTCTATCCATCCACCGTCCAATCTTACGACAAAGAGACACCTGGATCGTTTGAACTGGGGATGCCGATCAACCTACAAAATAGAGGCTATTAGTCAACTCAATAACAAACAATTTAATCACCAGCCACATAAGTATACTTCGGCTAAGAACCTGACTCTTACATCAGCAAACAGCTTAGCATGAAGTAGTATAATGATCACAGATAGATGAACATTTTTCCATCAAAAATTCAAAATAATCCACACAATGTAAAATAAGTTGTCATACTCAGGAACGCTTCACATGGTTCCTTTTCTATGAAGTGTAGTATAGTATAGTTTTGCGATGGCTTTCTACTATGAATAAAAGGGAAGGCTGTTATTCACAAGGAAAGACACTCTTCCACTTCTGTAGAACCATAGTTCAGATTTGCCTTGTCATATGCTATTCACCAGACTGAGTGAGCGCTCAATGTAGTTTGAGATTTAACATAATTTGTAATGCAGCACGGTGATAAAAGGCTAAACTAACAAACCAAAAGAAAAAGTCCATCTCTACCAACATTTTTCAGTCAGTTGGAAAGAAATTTAAGTAAAAGTTATTAATAGGAATCAAACAACAAGAGTATTAATCAAACTATATGACCAACCATAATTGAGTCGAGGCCACATCCAATTTTATCTTCAGAATGGGGATGATAAGCAAGAAGCTTGTCTACCACTATTTTCTCATCTTCTGCTGTCAGACGTTCTCCATCCATATACCTGGTAACGTAGAAAAAGGATAAGATTTAGCACTAGGATGAAGCCTTTGCAGACAAGAAAGATACAGGCGAAGTACTCTTGTAGTAGAAGATTAAGCGCCAAATTTCCTACAAGACACAGACAAAAGAAAAGAAGCCCATACCTATGTAACTTTAGAGTGAATTTCTAGTCATTTTAAATAAAGCAACTTTGACTGAAAATTTTCAGGCAATACCAACCTGTTCCATAACAATGATATTTCTATTTTTGAAGAGAAGATCGTGTTCTATCTTCAACTTGACACTAACTACAGAAACAACATGTTAGGTAGATCACCCGAAACCAAGGTTTAGATGAAACATAACAAAACACAAATACATCTAGTCCAGGAGGATAACAAATCAAATGAAATATGAACAAATGAAGATCCTATTTGCATATGTTTTTAATGAATCAGTTCAACTCTTGTATCTTGAACTGAAACTCAATTGAAGTGTATAATAGTGGCAGTGATATGAAGCAAGCAAGCTAGATAGCACTTACTGTAGTAGTGACTACCGAAAGAGGAAATTGATAACGACTAAAGAGTGATAATTAAAATAATATTCTTGAAAATTTTACTCTTCCACATTAAGTCTGAAGACTTATTTAACCATTAGCAGCTGCTTTGTTGTTGGTTAGTGTTATGTGGGGTATTAGTTATTCATGTGATAATTACTTATCTTCTATCCAGTATAAAATTTGCAATCTTCTCCTCTAGCAGGTTTTGTAAATTAAGTGAATAACATCAGGAAAAGAAATTTTCTCACATAACTCATGGTTCTTGAAGTTAACAAGAAACTGCAAAATAAATAAGCCACTCTATAGAAATCATTCTGTTAAATCAAAACTCATGTACTTTTGATCTTCTTTTGAGTCATATCTCCCATACATAGACACATGATGATCTAGCAACTATAACATCTAAATATCCTTGCACGCCACAGGACAAATCTAAGAATCTCGGTTTGTTCATTTCCTTGTGAATACTAATTTTCCTTATGGAAAGAGTTGCTACATAGATCCTTTATTTTCCTTGACATGTCCGTGTCACACAGGTGTTATAACAGACATAGTTCTTTCATAGTTTCATGCAGATTCTTCAAAGTACCCTAAAACGTTAACAAACCCGCATACATTGAATCATCAGTTGGATCCATGTAGCGAAACAATTTCTTGAATGAGAAACTCAAGTAAGACATAACAATGATAATCCTATAGCTCAATTCAGATCTAATATGAAATTGATTGAAAGGACCTGAAGTATATGGTAAGTTGGTAGGGAAAAGCTGAAGCTTAGAAAATATCTTATGTCACACTTGCACAGCGAGAGAAGCTGTGGTCAAAGAAAGAACTTTTAAGTCTGGTAAAGATCATTCTTATTTTGTGAAAATGTCACAATTAAATCACAGAAAGATGAAATGATAGGAGTAAAAGGATGTTCTATTATCCACCTAGAGGTCCTATCAAATAAGGAGTAAGGGCACCTTATCAGGGCTTGGTGAGTTTCAAACCTATCATGACTCGGGGACTTCACAATTTTTTTATACTGTGGTGTCTGGGACAACTTGAGCACCTCGACTAAATGCATAGAATACCTGCTACCTCCCACCAACACATGTATGGGGTAACTCTTTTTTTTTAATAAAGATGTACAAGGCAACTCAATTCACCACGGTTTGGGAAAATGGGAAGACACCACTTAGTGTTTTTACTACCTGAATTGAACCTTATGACCTCATGGTTTTCAACTCATTTCATGGATCACTAGGCCACACCCTTAGGTATAAAGGTGACTTCAGACATGTTAACCATGCTTAAAGTTTTTCTTAGTGGGATACAGCATATAGGTCCCACATTTCCCAATACATATAGACATATGTACCTTAATTCTGAATTTGTTGGGTTTGAAATTTTAAGACAGAGGCAAAACACATTGAGACAGGCATGAGATGAATGGCAAGTTTATGCCTCAATATATGTGGGACTTGAGGCCAATTATGTCCTTACTTGAGCCCCTATGTTTCATTTACCCCTTCCAAATCTTGAACAAAGATCCTATACAATATGTCTGTTGTGGGGCTGAAACATCATTTTTTTTTATCAGAACTGTTGGCTGAAAAATAACTTATTCTGATAATTAGCCGAAATTGCACAGACACTATCCATTCAGCTAGAATCAAGAGACATAATTACATTAGTTTGTCATCTGGAAGAAATGGGACTATAGATTATAAGCACGAGTTACCAGATATGACGTAGGATGCATGCGTTCAAAATATAAACTTTTTTACGCCAGTTTTGAACAAAAAGATTGTTAATGGTTGCAATCAGATACATTTAATTTTTTTCTTGTGTTTGGATTAGATGCTTGTGTTTTTTATAAAAAAAGAAAAGAATAAGGAGTTGTTCTATTATGTCTTGAGAATGGTAAATTGGTAATTGGAACAATCTGATTGTGTGGTTCTCTCATTCAGTTCTCGAGGTGTAATTATTTAGAAAGGTAAAATACTGCCATCTGAAATTATACTCGTCCTTTTGTTTTGAAAAGATGGTGTCTAGATTCTTGAGATATACGCTTGTTAACATACAATCTTTTCAAGTACAAAGAAGAAGCATGAGAACCCATTTAACAATTAAAATAAGTATAGAGTTAACATTTGAAAATTACATTACATTCTCTCAAATATAAAAAGTATTTCACATTTACGATGAAATTTATGAAATTAACCGACCACTTCTTATTCTGGACCAAGGAATCTGGTCTAATTCACTTATTTGTGGGAAGATATTCAATGTTCTTATTTAAAAAAGATTTCCATAAGGATATCTAAAGTAGATGGCAGTTGATAGAGAACTCTTTGATCAGAAGTTCCTATATGAATACTGTGTCCAACATGAAACTTGTGATTGGTAGTAAAACTCCCTTCAAGTTGTTTCCCTCTAATTGCTAGCAGCAGAACAGAGTAGTAAGTAGTTGATTCTTTTTTTAAAAAAAAAAAATGTTAAGCAGTTGAATCATTTTTTTAATCAAGAAAAAAACTATGCAAGTTAAGTAGTTGATTCCTAATCATCATTTCAACCAAAAAAAAAAAGTTGATTCCTTATTGTCTCACCATTGTTTATGGAAGATTAGAAGCCAGCAACTCCACATTATCTTTCCAATTAAACAGGGCAAGAATTATAGGTATATTTATCTAAGCTTCTACGAATCTTTGGTTTAGAACATCTTACTGGCTAACCCAAGCTTAGGCACCTCAAGTTGGAATTTACATATACTTAAGCTCTTCCTCCTTTGCTGCTTTTTCTTCTATCCACATACCACCCTCCTATTTACAGATCAGTTGCATTTTGACTTGTATGTTTTAATAATCAAAGACTCGAAGGATAATACTTTTTCAGGGGCGACTCAAGGTTAAGGCAAATAAAGTCATTGTCTTAGGCTCCCAAATATTAGAGGCCCCAGAAATACAATATTATATATAACATGCTCTCTCCGGTCCATATCATTTGGTGTTTCTGCCATTGGCACCACATCTCTTAAGAAACTATTCCTTCCAATCCATACACTATTTGGTTTTTGTACCTTTTCATATTGATCTAAAATAAGTGGTGTTTTACATAATCAAGAAGGCATTAAGTTCTTTTCTTCAAAATTCACACATTGTGAACAAGTTTTTCTCAATTACAATTTCCTATGAGTACATTAAATAGTACTATCACTATTGCTTCAAAGGCATTTGATATGCACATAATATTATTTCATATTACTTTTACTTAGAAAGATGTCATCATAGTGTTCCGTACACCTCAAATTCTTATGCTCTTTATACTTAGAAAGATTAAAATCTTATTAAGGGTAATTTAGTCTAAATTCTTCTAAGTTCATAGGACTAAGTACTCCCTCCGGTCCATATTATTTGTTGTTTTGGACTTTGACACACTCCCAGAAACTACTTACTCTTAAATTTGCATCTTCCTAAGTTGATAAGTACAAAGAGCATAGAGATTTGAGGTGTATGACATAATATTATGTGCACATATCTTGTGAAAGCAATATCTCATAATAGTACGTGCATACAAATGCCTTTGAAGAAATAGGAGTACCTATTTAAGGTACTTCCAAAAAATTGTTATTAAAAAAGATTTCTTTGAATTGAAATGTGTAAATAAGAGTAAATTGGAAAAAAATCAAATTAATTCCTTCTTGATTATGTAAAATACCACTTATTTTGGACCAAAATGAAAAGGTAAAACACCAAATAATATAGATGCATGAGTAAATAATGGTAAATTTTTTCCCTCATTCATCAAATAGTGTATTTAATTATTTGTTGTCTTGTCCTTTTGAATATCATATTATGTTATTTCTTGTACATCTGTTACTTCGTTTTCTGGATTGTTTTAGACTTTTTCTCTTGATCCAAGGGTCGATCAAAAACAGCCTCTCTACCTGAGGTAGAAGCAAGGCCTGTGTATACTCTACTCTCTGCATACTCCACTTCGTGGAATTATATTGGGTATGTTGTTGTTCTTGCAATAAAATAGTTTATTTACCTTCCTCTTCAATTTTATGTTTCCTTCTCTATGTACAACCATTTCTTTTTTCATGTTTTTGACGATTTCACTTCTAATTTCAACTCCATTTCTTTGAATTAGCTATTTCACTTTCGCATGTTTGGTTCTTACAACAAAAAATAAATTTATTTTGTCTCATCTTTCCTAATCGAGAAATTTCACAGAGCAAGTGCCGCAATTGTTTGAAACTCGATGTATAATAGCCCCGTCATTCTACCCTTCTCCACTAAAATACCATGCTTTTATATACGAAAGTGTTCGTGACATGCACCTAACACTCTTATCACCAGATGAAATTCTCAAGCGCATCTTTTGTGTCTCATTAGTATATGAATTTTACAAAATAAGTTTAGGGGCCTTTTGGTATAATTCAGCTTTAAACTACCAATTTCATTGAGCCATCAGTGTACTTTTTCCCCTTCAATAGGAAAGTGCCTCTCATTGTCTTCACCAATAGTTCAATCTCCCTTACTTGGCTCATAAATTCCATTGGTAAGTGAATTAAGTCACGCACTTGCCTCACATATTCAACTAAACATTATGCATTTCCATTTCCACAAACACAAAGCAAGCATTGAAGTCACAATTCAACTCATAATAAGCTCAAATGAACAATTACGAACTAAATAGCCTGATAAGCTAATAGGATGAACAAATCATTCCTAGTATTAGATAACTAATGAGTTCATTATATGTTACTGAAAAATCAAATTACGTAGCATTGTGGTTAAAAATGGTATTCACATCAAATTTAGAAACGCCCAAATATGAAAATTGCAAATTAGTAAAGAAGAAAGCGGACCTATCGGAGTGGATAATTTCCTTGGTCAGGAAAATAACGGGCTCGATATCTTTGAGTATCTGAGTTTCCTGGTCTTTCCATTTTCGATAGTCCGGGTCAGTCCATCTCGGGTAATTGGGCGGGTCTTTGGCGCTTAGCACGGCGGTGGTCTGGTCCCCATCGGACGCCGCGTCGTCGAAGGGCTGAGCCGATTCGGAAGCAGCTGAAAACAGCCTCGGAGAAAGTAGAACAAAGCTAGGATTCGGCAGCCGCTGATAACAGAAGCGGAGCCGGAGGATTGGCAGACCTCTGAGGAGTAACGGAGCAGCCATTGTTAAGCGTTTTTTGAGTGATCAGTAGTTTTTGACTTATGCCCTCTTGGATTCTGTTTTGACTCTTTTGGGGTATAAACTTTAATTTTGTCTACAAAATAGGTCCATGGATTTGTGATAATTGCTACCCCCTCCATTCTATTTTGGGAGAATTACACATAAGTAAATTACTACTATTCATTTTCTTTGAAATTTCTAATCCTATCTCCAAATCAATATGGCGATTCAAATGTAAGTTCAACAAATCAAATTCATTTGAGTGGTGAAAATTAGATTTTTAAAGTATCATCATTTGTTGAACAAGCTTAAATGAGTGGATTTAAATTTGATTTTGTGAGAAATTTTGGAGTGATTATTGTTTAGACATGTTAGAAACGAGGTTGGTTACAAAATTTGAATTCATTTAATTGAGATTTGAACTTGTTTTGAACAACTTTTATACCAGAGTTACATTATGTATATAGGTGTATAGAAGTGTATAATAGTGTATAAGAGATGTTTATATATGCATATACGCTATTATTCGAAATTTGAATTCGTCTTTTCCTTGTGCCTTTTCTGAAATTTAACTCAAATCTACTCCAAAATACTTCAAATTTAAATTTTGAACCCCTCGATACTTCTATTTTCAAAATTTTAATCAATCACACTAAAGAGGAGAACTAAATTTAAGCTTGATTAGATATTCAAAGCTACAAGTAATTACATGCGGGAAGAAGAAGAGATGCAAGCAATATTAAAAAAGGGAGGATCAAGGTGAGCGAGATTTGGGAGAGAGAAAGAGGAGAGAGGTTGTATCAACAAATACAATTTTATCAAATGTATTAACAAATATAATTTGTATCAATAAATTATAAAAGTCATGTATAAAATATATTTGTTCCTTGTGTATTCACCATGTTCATGCAATATGTACATATAACTATATAAACTTTTGTAAAAGTTAATGTTAGTTGCTAAAGATTTAATATAACGCTTCAACAACATTATATACAACTTTCACCTGATACTCATACAAATTTAATACAATTACAACAACATACAAACTTGAAATATAGTTTTCATACAACACTAACATACAATTATAATATAATTTTAGTACAAATTCGATACAATTTGTTTATAACTTTGAACTTCAATAATCCATACAATTTTCACTTCATTTACTAATTCGATATAGGTTAATCCGTTCAAATTTAACCAATCTACACATTTGACAATCATATTTTGAAGTTTGAACTCTTATCAGTTTTGTGTTTTGATCGGCATAGGAAGGTGCATGCACATGCAATGTTTGTGATATACTATATTAGTTTTATTTTTCCAATTGAGATGGTCTATTTTGTGATTGGACATAAAGAATAAATACGTTGCATGTGCTCTTGGATATGAGATTCAACTAGCGAAAAGTAGTATCATGTTTATATCTTCAATTTTGTTTTAAAACCTTGAAAATGTCAAAAGTAAGTAGCTTTTAAATATTTTATCACGGTCTCTCTCAAATCTGACATGTGAATTTTTCAAAAAAAAAAAAGTTTATTTTTGACAAATTTATAAGAATATATGATTCAAAAGTAACAATAATAAATTCATAAATGAGGTTTGAAAAGAATGAGCAGGAAAAGAATGATCGATTCGAAGAGATAAGTGAGCTGGGAGCGAAGTTTATGAGTTACTAGCTTTAAGTATTCAACATGCATATTTCTTGACTATTAAAAGTATAGAGATAGATCAAGCCTAAAAATTGTAATTTCTATTGAATATAATGCGATGCGTCTGCACTAACGTGACTTGCAAAGAAACTCAATGTCACTATTCTTGAGCAACTTGGAGCCAGACCTTCTTTTCGCACTATTACGAATATGACGATAATGGTCAAGATTTAATTCAACGCTAACGCTATAGCTATATAGACAAGGCACAATATCACCTCCTTTTACTTCTGAGTCTTAGATGCAACTCTTCTAGTTAGAAAAGAGTATCAGCTAGTTGCGAAATGTATGTAGACGTTACCTCTAGCTACCTTGTGAAGTAAAAAGATTGTTTCTGATAGACCCTCGTCGTCATAAGAAGAAAAAAGTACCTTACGCAGAATTGTAAAAAAAAAAGAAAGACAATAAAATAAGAAATTACAAAAAAATGCAACAACAAATAGTAATGCTTCATTGAAAAATAAGAAACTACACAATAACTAAATAATACTACTAAAAAGGCAAAGAGGGTAGGAGAGGAAGAAGCTAACCTCATGCCTCTTCCACAGAAAGTGTGATGACATTCATTTATATCATAAGTTTTTAATATTAGTTCTCGACCTCCATAGTATCCGATTTAAGTCATATGTCTCCAACTAAAATTTTCCAAATCTTCTTTAGCCTATTTCTACCTCTCATAATTTCTACTACCATCCGTCTGAACGGTTAAAAATATATTCAAAATTATTTTGAATCTAAACCAAACATAAGAGATACTATAAGTTATGTTATGTTATCGTGAATGTTTTCTCAATTATCGAAAAAAAGGCATATTTGTGAGACACGAAACACAATTTGTATGGCTACTTGAAAGTTTATAAATGGACCTGCAACCTAATTAATTATGGCTTATGACTCATGAGTTATTTTGTTCTAGTGGTCAGATACGTTTAATGTTGATTGCTGTGTTAACTCTTTTCCATTTATTCAATTAATTAATGACAATGTGGCTCCGATCGTCATTGTTATTTCTGCTTCCGTAGACAACGAAGTTGGCCTAATTTTGATTAGAATTTTAGCAGAACGCTTCGCGTTTTAATTTGTTTGATTTATTTTAATTTGATATAAAAAATTTAAATCTGATAATCTTAAATTAATATATGTATCAAATTGTTTTTTAGTCTTGTCATCTTAAATATCTCATGTGAAAAGTTAAAATTAAAAAGTTGTTAAAAAGCGATACAGACTAAAAGAAAAGTAGATTAAATAAATTTTAATGGATGGAGTACTACTTTTAAAATTCAAAAATGTTTCAACATTCTCGTTTGCTATTACTATTATATATCGTCAAAATGATAGACAAAAAGTGTACCAAATTATTTAAGTTCAAAAGATTATTAGCGGTCTCTTTTTTCAAGCAATTAAAACATTTGAATTTTGAAAACGCAATACCACGTTCCAGAAAGTAATTTAAGGCGTAGCCACTTTTTTCAAATTTTGTACTTATAGTTGGTTAATGATTTTTAGCATTAAAATTACTATTATTGCAAAATGAAAGTAGATTTGATTTCGAATTGAATTTAAATATAAGTGGGAATTATTAAAATATATAAAATTATTGAATGAATAAAGATTGGTAATTCAAACTTTAAAAAAAATATTTTCAACATCAAATATATTTGTTGGAGCTTCAAACATACATGTTAGAAGTCTGATCCAACAAGTCAAATTTCAAATAAAAATATTTCATGTCTAAATTCTAACAAGCCAAACTTTAGATAAAAATAAAAATTGTCAGAATTCAATTGCTAGAACCAAACTTCATATGTGAATTTTTGCATCTTCGATAGCGTATTCTTGAAGTTGGTTCTATATAGTAGCTATAACTTAAATGATAATCTCAAAATCGATTGTTTCTACACTTGCCCCAACCTCCGATGGACACATATTTATATTAAATAAAATAATTTTATTTTACATACCATACATTCAAAGTATTTGCCAGAACTTTGCCATCATACGCATTCAAAGCATCCACAATTAATTCTATTGTTTATCTTATCAGCATTAAGTCAAAGATGGTCTTTAATTAAGGGACCACCCCACTTTTAAAAAATTGATAACACTTAATTTTTTCGATTCATTTTAACTTATAATATATAATATAATTTATTAAGTTATTTTTTTTGAGAATTAATTAGTATTAAAAAGGTTACTTCTTTAACTATAAAAATAAATAAATAAATTATAGAATTCCTAAAATAATTTTCTTGAACACACATGCATGAATATTGTATATCATGCATGATAACTTATCCCACCATTTATATCATAGTGATGTGATAAGTTATTCCAGGATAACTAATCATGAGATAACTTATTCCCAACCAAACGATCCCTAAAGGTATATAATAAGCTGATTTGCATGAGTGTTATAGTACCACACCAACAGACAGGATTACCAATTTTGCGGAATCATATCACCATTGGAGCATTATTGTTATATTTTTAGGAGTTTAATAGTCATCTTCTTGCTTTGCATCTAGGCAAGAATTAATTGGTTCTCTAATTTCTTCTGCCACACATAAAAGGAACAGATAAGACTGTTTAATTTCCATGAATAGTTGTAACTTTAGAATGATTGGATTGTTCAATAAATGACAAGAGCAAGAGGAGTGGGGATGGGTCAAACCCATTTTTGTATGATAAAAAAAATAAAATTTGTGTCCGATCATAGTTTTTTCAAAATATATTGCATTAGTTTTATTTAAAGTATGAAATATAATTATATCCATATAAAGAATACACAATCGTACACATACAAACATGTGCTAACCCCAAATTTTTCATATATTATGTTCTTGGCTTAAAAAAAATATTGCCATCATTACTTGGTTGGCTCAACAATATTTTTCAATTAGCTAAATAATTCAAAAATACTTTTACACTAACGATTATTCTAAAACAATAAAAAATAAGCCACTAATTATATCCGTAACTTTTTTCCAAATAAGGCAACTAAGAATCGGACTAGTAGGCGCACTTTGTGCGAACTAGCTAAATGTCTCAGTCTGCAATAGCTTACAAACTACACAAAAAAATATAAACTCCAAAAATAAATTCTGTGCAACAAAGTCATTCAGAAGACATCGATCTTGAATCATTCGTATAAATAACTAGCTCTAAAATCAACTAACCATGCTAACTGATAATATTCGTAAATTTAAAATAAAAGAGGATAGGAAAAAGGTGATTTTGAAAGTTGAAGGGTGAATGTGAAGAGTGAAGATACAGGTACATCCAATTGCATAGACACGATACACATGTGACTTCCTTTACTACACTGGTGGGGTGGGGGAGGAAATACTTGCATGTTTCTATCTACTTTTCTTACCGTGTTCCTTCCGCATGTCCCACTATTCTCGCTCTCTCAAATAACCCAACCGGCACGCCTACTTACATGTAGGTAGACCACACGGCACGCACTTTTTCATCTCTCAAGAGATATTCGTAAATTTTAGTAATTTAGTTGATTAATCGTTATTAAAAGAAATAGAGATATCTTAATTTACTATAATATTCATACTCATTGATTCATAATTTTAAATCTTGAGTATTAATTTGGAGAAAGAATAATTAATATTAAATATTACTATGCTATATTAAATGAATAGAGGAAAGAAATATATTTTTAATAAAGACTATATGTATTTTCGGAGAGAAGAGTAATTTTAAAATGTTAACATTTGCTATCCCTAACAAACTTCCAGTAAATTAGAATTGAATCCGAACTAATTTTATTTTCAGGTCCGCTATTAAACTCACCTGTAAATTGCAACTTCATCCGAAAAAGACGAACACAAAAGGCTGGTGAAATAGTAATTGGATACAGTGACCCTGACCTATCTTTATTATATTCTACTGGTGGATGGGTCAGTCAGCTTCCACCGTTGCCGGAGCTCAAAACCGTATAAAGTTCAGATCTTCGCCGGTGATTTCTTCCATGAAGGAAATTGACGATTCCGACGATGTTATCGATGTATTCGAGGTCGGAGAGTTTGATTATTCTTCTAATATTCCTGATGAGTGTTTAGCTTGCATTTTCCATTTCCTGAGCTCAGGTGACCGGAAAAGTTCTTCCCTCGTCTGCCGCCGTTGGCTCCGTGTTGAAGGCCAGAATCGTCACCGTCTCTCGCTTAATGCACAATCGGAACTTGTCGCTGTGGTTCCTGTGATTTTTTCTAGGTTTGATTCGGTAACGAAACTCGCTTTGAAATGTGACCGTAGATCTGCGAGTATTGGGGACGAGGCGTTGGTGCTTATATCTTTAAGGTGCCGGAACCTAACTCGTTTGAAGCTCCGGTCATGCCGGGAGCTTACTGATACTGGAATGGAATCTTTTGCGAAGAATTGTAAGGGTTTGAAGAAGCTATCTTGTGGATCTTGTGCTTTTGGAGCTAAAGGGATGAACGCCGTGTTGAATAACTGCTCGGCTCTGGAAGAGTTGTCCGTGAAACGGCTGCGTGGTATCACAGATGGGGCTGCAGCTGAGCCCATTGGTCCTGGTGTTGCAGGGGGTTCTCTGAGAGTTATTTGCCTTAAGGAACTCTACAATGGTCAGTGTTTTGGACCGTTGATTATTGGATCGAAGAGTTTGCGGACGCTGAAGCTTTTCCGTTGTTCTGGAGATTGGGATAAGATTCTGGAAGTGATTGCTGAACAAGTCAGTGAACTTGTTGAAATTCATCTTGAGAGGCTTCAGGTCAGTGATACTGGTCTTGCTGCTATATCTAAATGTTCCATTCTTGAAATTCTGCACCTTGTGAAAACGCCTGAATGCACTAATAATGGTCTAAAGACTGTTGCTGAAAACTGTAAGCTTCTAAGGAAGCTCCACATTGATGGGTGGAAGACTAACAGGATAAGTGATGATGGGTTAATTGCTGTGGCAAAACATTGCCCTAATTTACAAGAATTGGTTTTAATAGGTGTGAATCCAACATGTGCTAGTTTGGAGAAGTTGGCTACGAATTGCTTGAATTTGGAGAGATTAGCTCTGTGTGGAAGTGAAACTGTTGGGGATCCAGAACTATCGTGCATAGCGGCGAAATGTATTGCATTAAGAAAACTTTGTATAAAGAGTTGCCCAGTATCCGATCAGGGTATGGAAGCGCTTGCTAGTGGATGCCCAAATTTGGTAAAAGTAAAGGTTAAGAAATGTAGATTGGTGACTTCTGGAAGTGCAGATTGGTTGCGGACAACTAGGGGTTCTGTTGCTGTGAACTTGGATACACCTGAACCTGAAAATCCTGATGCAAGTGCCAGTGATGGAGGTGTGGCTGAAGTTGGCAATGAAATTAGACAGGTGGCTGGCCAAGTAAGAGGTGTAAGTATTGCATCAAGCAGTACTGGGAGGTCAAATTCCTTTAAGGCCAGGCTAGGACTTACAACAGGAAGGAATCTGGTGGCTTGCACATTCAGAAGGTGGTCGAGCTTTGGTGGGAGTTCCAGTTCCAGAAATAATTAGAAAAAAAGGAGTTGACTGAGATCAATCTTATGCTCAAACATTCTGCTATTGAAGTTATTTGACTTTTATTACATTTATATATTCTTGAATTTGCATGCTAGTTAATGCAACTACAGATTCAGCCTCCATGGTTGGACCTTGTTCGTGAGTTTCCCTTCTTTTTGTTTTTGCTTATGTACAATCCCAGTGATGCTATTTTTGGGCTTGGTATGCTCCTTCAACGTGGAGTTCTTATCACTTCTCCTGGGAGAGGACTCTACATGCTATCTTCTGAAAAAGAAAGAAAGGAGAAGGTTATAATCCAAGAAGTTGGTGATTTTGGAATGTGTTTACCAGTTTATGTTTTGCTAAGTTTTTCTGTATATATTTACTCCGTACGAAAGATTCAATATCGTTAACACATTCTTCTTGACTCATTAGGCGTTTGAATGGAGAACTGAGAAGAACCGAAGAAACTAGAAGTGTGCATAAATCATACTATTGCTTTCTCTTATACACTAGGATATGCACATTAAGCTAATAGAAAGTCAAAATTTTGATTCTATGTTCTAATCGTCCGTACCTTTCTCAAACACAAAAAAAGTCCAGATTCTGATTCATACCGTTGCCTTTCTCAAACAGAAAAAAGTCCAGATTTTGATTCACTCCCATGTTATTAATTACAGGATAGCATCATGGAAAGTCAAATTGATTTTGAGTTCAAAGAAGATGTTTCCAGCTAATTAGGGGAATCCACATTTCTTCCTCGAGTTCGATTAGGGGCCCCTACCCTCCATTCTCTCAAGTACCTCTCCGCTTGCTTTGGGATCAACTTCACTAAACTTCTCTTATAAAAAATTTATGATACCTTTCTAAAAAAAATACCTCTCATAAAGGTTCATTAGTCTTACAACTTGTTTGTTCCACGGCTTTTACCAATTAAACTTTGTACATTTTTATATTAAATCAGGTGTGTTTGGGACGTGCCCTTATCAGGAATCATTCTTGTATTTTTTGGTGAATGTGGGGGGAAGTTAGCAATAGTGTGATTCACCTGGTAAATGAAGAACATTGGTGAAAAGTCAGGCTTGAATAGTCAAAGCTGCACCCCTAATTGAAACAGGAAGTGTTTCAAGGCCTTGATATGCTACAGTAAATGTTTAAATGCCATATAAGTCTAACTGTCTGAATCTTTCTATATCATTCTCTCAATGTGCTTATCTGATTTGGTTATCTAAAAAAAAAATAGTGCTTATTTGACTTGTATGACATTTAGGAAACATGTTGAGAACTAGAGCATGGATTTGTTTATGCTGAGAGCTAGAGTATAAATTGACTCTCTATTAGATCAAGAGATTGTTGAAGTCAAGGTATCGACCTCTAGATGTTAGGTTAATAAATAGTTACACCAAACTTTGTTCATTGGTGTTTAGATGTGGATGTACTCTCCTAGAAGTTCTGCACTTCGCCATAAGACACAACAACAGAGTTGTAAGTTAAAACTCTGGGTTTGGGGCCACAAATTAGTATTTGTGTGATACCATGTTGACTTAATTGTTTCTGTTCTATTTAAGAAACTTTTGTTGACTTCTTGTAATCAGAATATAATTATGTCAAGCTTTGTCTTTCTAGTGTGGAGTTTTGAATAGGAATGGAGATCAAGGATGGTTATTGTAGTTATTTTTCGTACCAGTTCCTCTTGCGTTGTCCTTGAAGGCCAAACTTTAGTCATACTCCCCTTGAGGCCATTGCCTGCAGTTATTTAGCTACATCGAATAAATAAATCAGCTAACTTTATCAGAAAAAGATGACTGATCCTCATTTTAATAGGGTAAACACAACTTTATTTTTGCTCTTCTGCATGACTCTGAGGTCTGAACTGCATGCCTGATTTATTGGTTTCATGACCAGCTTATGTCCTTTAGTTGGTTTTGTATTAAGTCCTTCAGTTTACTTATGCTTTGCGTCACTTTTACTGAATATTTTCTTTGAAAATCATATGAAGGCAATTGAAAAACCTTTGGAAAGTTGCATTGTCAGTGGTGAGTTGAATATTGTGTTTGGAGAATTGTATTCTTAGAGAGTAGGTATAACTATCAATACAAAGTTGCTCATTTAATTAGATGACGCCTGATGTTTGTGAACTGTATCTTGCTGTTTTCTTCATGCTTTGGTTAGTAGCATGTATTGAATTGTTATCTTAAATTGTACGGTGTAATTTTGGATTCTTTACCATAGACAGGCTATAGCAGTAATATTTGCTTCTTTGAGAATGAATCATCAAATTTTGTTATCATCTTTTGTTGGTGAGTTGGTCTAACAAGTAAATCCTAGTTCATCATTCTATATGGATCCAGTGGACCGAACAGCCATGTCCTTTAGTTGATTTATGAGTAACACACAGTTAGAACTTCAGTTATGCTGCATGAACTGGTTATTGTATACACAGTCAGGGTTGTGGCAACTACTATAGAATTATCCTTTCAGTTACTGAAACATAACAATTACATATGTTTCTCTTTTCTGAATGATGGGGTTCTGTAGATTTTGTTCACCACCAAATCCCAAACAATGGACACTGGCTATACCTGTGAGTTGCCATGATTGATGTTTTATGACTTGGAAAACTCACTCTTATCAGACACTGGGTTTAATTTTTGATTTGGTAGTAAAAACACTGACTTTGCTCATTTCGGTGTGTTGTTTTGGAAGGATTCTTTTGCTTCCTTTCTGTCTTGCTTGATGTAGTGATAATATTGTCGTTTTGGGAATTTTCCTGTCTTGTACCGGTGATCAAAATTTCTTCAGTAGTTGTCGATCTTTTTTGTGGTAATTCTTGTTTTCTGGCTATGCATACTTCATCTGGTAAGTGGTGTTATGGTGATTGGTTTGTAAGCTTTTGCTTGCTTGATTGGTTATGTTTAAAGATGTCTCGATTCAAGCTTTGAAACTGACAAAAGCTATGCTTCCGCGACGTCTGCAGGTTGTTTTTGGCTTCATGTGATGGTTACTGATGAGTGCTTGCTTTGTTTGTCAAACTCTTCCGTGTACACTGAAATATTGTCAATCAAATTATGTCGATTAGTATTGGATCTGTTGACAATATTTTTGCCTTAAACTGCATCCATTGAGTGTATCAATCTAAAATGTAACGCTAGAAGCTCATAGAACTTAACGAGTCTGAACCAAGGGGTACAGTTCGTCTTGCTGATCTGTAAGAATGCTTGTTCTAATCCCGCACCTATATGATGTAGTACAATGAAGTGGTAAAAATCATAGAAACTAAAGTTCCCATTTTGGTAGAGATGAATAATACTAGACGTCTTCTTTTCAAATATCTAACTTCGAGAGGATAGAGTCCCCTGATACCTAAGGTATTCAGTAAAATAGTTGAGTTGGCATGAATACCACGGTAACTATAATATTCGATATTTAAAACCACTCTGAACAATCAACGTTTTATAACCTTCATATATGTAAACTGTGTGTGTCATTATTACTCCTTAACAACACTATCTCTATTACATTGATTAGTAGCACTTTTCGATCGATTCAACCTTAGAAGAATCCCTGTTACACAAATTTGATAATCATACTCATTTCCTCTATGATTTAGGTAGATTGTTCTTCTGCTGATTTTGTTTGCGCTGGGTTCCAACATCACCTGGACAAATAGATAAATTTGGTTGCGGTGAATATCTTCAACATTTGGTTCTTTTAGGCATTTCAGAAAACAGGTTCTATGCACAGAGAGGGATCGAGAATGAAGAAGGAGGTTTGCTCTTGTTTGCGAGCTCGACTTGTAGAATTCCTCATTCAATCAGCTCAAGACCTTCAAGTTTCTCCGATCGTCAAATACTCAGCACTGTCACTTTTCACCGATCGATTCTACCCAGCTCTTACCGGAGAAGGAACTAAGGATGCTAAGAGCTGGCTCTTACAGCCTCTGAGAGAAAGCAATTTGCAGCTATTTGCGCTTGTTGCAATATGGATCTCAAGCAAAATACACGATTCTCCTTCCCCAAGTGTGAAATCCTTCAAGTCTCTGGCTGACATCACCATTAAAGAGCAGCATTTTACAACAAAGGATTTTCTGGAAGCTGAGCTAGTGTTAATGCAGGTATTGAAATTTGAGATCGGCATGTTAAGCATCCCCTTCCGATTCTTCGAAGATCTACTTACTAAGTTCAGTGAAGTTGCTAGAGTTGGAAAGCAATTAAGCTTGGAAGCTTGCATGGATATCATGGACCTGATATATGAAAAGGGGGAGATTTCATCTTTCAATTGTTCTTCTCATCATCTAGCCGCATCGATTGTTGTTGCTGCATATGCAATCACAGTTCCATTGCAAAAGAGTGAATTCCCCATTCTTGTATGGGTTAAGTTTGTCACTTCGTGCAGAGAGGAGGATATTGTAGACACTGTCAAAAATATTCTAATGCATGTGTTTGAAGCTTGAATTTTATTGTATTTCATGTAACAACAACATACCCAACGTAATCTCACAAGTAACGTTTGGAGAGGGGAATGTGTACCCAACCTTACCCCAACCTTGAAAGGTAGAGAGGTTGTTTGCGTCAGCTCAAGGAAAGGCATAGAAAAACAATTCGCGAAAAGAAATATAACAGGGAAGAAGCCACGGAAAAATACGTTAGATAACAACCACATTACATGACACTCATTCCATTTTGGACTTCTCAAGTGTTCTCAATCATTCCATTTATATACAACATTTAAACCATTTTATAATTCAAATTCATTGATTCCTGATGTCTTCTTTATCTGATTACTCTTCAACCACCACTTTAATATGTTTATTTCACAATAAATATAACTCAAAATGGGACAGGGAATGCAAATGTTATCAGCTGTTAAACTAGAATTATGGGCCTCTATTTTAAGTCCAGGTTAAGCCCAATAAAGCATTTCACTATCTGAAAAGCTATTTAATTGCCATAATTTGTTCGTCAAATAAGCTGATCTTATTTTTAATAAATAATTACTGATTTTATACCTAGTAGGGTATGATTTGTAAAACAAATAAACTAATCTCGATTTTTATTCTTAATTATTAAATTAATGGCTAGTGGAGTATATACTTTTTAAAGACATGTAATATAATTTGTGAAGTATTATAATATATAAACAAATATTTATATCGAGGGATAAAAATTAAATAACAGCATAAAATAAAACAGAAAAAACAAATGACCTGTTTAAAGCACATCCGGGACTTGTTCAACTTCCCCTCATTGCTCTCGCAGTCTTTCTCAGATACCATAAATTCCTAATTCCTTTCGGAACAAAAAAAGAGTAAAAAAGTAAAAAAAATAAAAAATGGACGTCGGTGGCGGTGCAGTCGCCGGCGACGGTGCCTCTTCTACTTCCTCCGCCGTGTCTCAGTGGACCTTCACCTTATCACAGCGATATCAACACCTTCTGGATAAATCGACACCTCACGTCCTTTATCGGTGGATCTTCTTCGCTACGATCGCTTTCATCTTTGCTATTCGCGTGATCATGGTTCAAGGTTTCTACATCATCACATATGCCCTAGGAATCTACATAATCCAGCTCCTTATTGCTTTCCTTTCCCCTCAAGTCGATCCGGAAGTTGACGGTCCTACCCTTCCCACTCGCGGATCCGATGAGTTTCGCCCTTTCGTTCGTCGCCTTCCTGAATTTAAATTCTGGTGCTTCATCTATCTCACTCGTTTATGTGCCAATTTACATATCTTTTTTTTGCTTACTTGTGAAGTTTAGATTTGTTTGATATGCATCTGCTTTGCGATCTCATTATGTAGTTTGATTTTCATCTAGTTTCTGATTTTTGACTTTGACGTGAATAGAAATCAAATCTGATGGTTATTTTTGGTAGGAAATCAAATCTGATGCTAAGATTTGTTGTAGTCAAGGTGTGGATTGCTTTAAAAAGTCAGATTTATATTTTTGGGATTCTGATGATTATGTTCTAAATTAAGAATTCGCATTTTCAAATAAGAATTTGTACATTCCACTGCATAGTTATTTTTGGAATCTGCTGAGAAGTGTGTTAGTTGATGAGTTTAGTCATGTTGTTGCATATTCATGGTTATGGAAGTTTATGCCCTGCTGAAAAAAAATTCTGATATGTTTGCTAATTGCTACCTATTCCCGCCTTCACATGATGATCTAGGATCTGATAAAGAATAGAAGATTCGGAGTGGAAAGAAGGAAAACTACTTTTCTTAAACTATTTTGTAGTATGACCTTAGCCAAACTTAAGACACACAGTGCTTGGAGGAATTAGCTTGAGACCAAATGGGGCATCAAGTTAACATTTTTTTTTTGTTTTGACCTGGTATTTCTTCATTTTTTTTTTCAGTGGTGCCTTTGACCTTCCACTCTATTAATATGCAACATTGGTTGAATTATTCAGCATTTGAACCTACTAACTCCATCGATCCAGATTTGTATCGTATAACTAAAGAGGACCCTCTAACATGAGTTTCTCCATCATGCAGCATGTTATGTGTGAGATTGAGATAGATAGCTTGGGATGTCTGATTTTGTTAAATTCAATCAGTACAAGTTATCGAAGAGTCTCTCAAAGCTCAAAAGCATGAAAATGTGTTGCATCCCTTGTACAAAAAAAGGGTGAAAATATGATGCATCCTTATTCTGCCCTAGAACTCTTTTCCTAGCGTCAATTATGGATCTAATAATCATGTCATGACAGGATAATAGATTAATAGTATCACAATTAGCTGTTTTGTACTGCCTACATAACTTTGATAGATAGGAAAATCCTACTTACAAAAAAATGAAATAAATGGATAGAAAACTCACGTATTATTACTGATAAAAATCATGTGTTGATTGCACTGAGCATGAAGCAATTACATAGGGCTTGGTTAGATCTGTTTACTGAATTGGCTGTATAAATAATGTCATTTGTTTTATTCACTGTACTTGTTTCTCCACCATTTTTTTTAAAAATAAAAATCCTCATGTTGCCTACCATATCTTTCTTTATTTTCAAGATATTTTTAAATTTAATGACGGAATGAGCTCTCTTTTCTTGCAATATGTCTTTTTACTGGAGTTGAGTTGAACTCATGTAACTAGGATAAATGCTTTTTATTTTTTTTTGAAAATGGTAATTGTTTCTATTTTGGAATTCCCTTCTATTTTTGTAGAACAGTACATAGGTTGAAAATGATAAATGCTTCTTATTAACATGAGGTGATTTAATGGGGAAGTTCTGTGATTATATGGGGTAACTTAGGTGATTTTATTTGGAAGCTCCCTGTTATATGGGACAACTTATCTTAATCAGTTAATAAATATAAGATAGTATTCAAGAAGTGTTGTCCTGATCATGGGATTATGTTGGTCCATTCCTGCTATTAGGTTATATAGGTTTTTATGGTACAATTTTGTCAATGTTTTTCAGTGAGGCAGTACCATAGTCCTTGGCTTTTGTTTTATGATGTGGCCATCCCCGACTGAACACTTATAGTGGCTCCTGTGTCAGTCTCTTTCATTCCTCTCGTTAGACCATCTATAGCACTCATAGCTACAGCCCTAACTTGATTATTTCCTAATAATTGATGTTCGTCATAAGCCACATTAATTGGTTGACCAACACTATCATGATGGTCAGTGTGTCAATCAATCATTATAAGTTTCTACAGGTTGGAAATGTCCTAATTCAAACTCTCGATGTTTTCAAAATTATTTTATGTTTTTCAAAATGTTCAGATTGTATGGAAGAAGAAAAGTAAACTTGGTGACCAGCTTCTGACCAAACATGCTGATCACCAAGTCTATTTGGTTCCCAGCCAGTAGTTCTTTGTCTCCCAGTAATGGTTCCTGATCTTGATGTTTGTAATAGTTTTAGTAGCCGGGATGAATATGAATTGTTGACCTTGAGCTTTTGTGATATGCTTCAGCCAGTGCAAGGGGAGAGCAGAATCCTTCTAACCTTCCTCCTTTACACACTCTTAGTTATCTGAATTTTGTTATTTCACAATATCTTTAGGTGCTTTATTATTATAAAATGATGCTTGGTGTCCAGGCCAGCTTGAGTGTACCTCGAGTATTCCACTATGTACCTGATGCAGTGTTACTTTCCACTTGCACATGTACTAGGTAACCTTGCCCAACCAAGGCTAAGGTGGATGGTATTTGAACCCTAATCTCCAAGGTTTGCACCTACTTCATTGACCACTAGCCCACACCCTTGGGTGCGTTGCACTCCAAGGATTCCCATTGAAGTCAATCACTTAATCATATAGCAGAACTTTTTCATTGTGCACTTCATTTATTTGCCTATACTTCTGTTAGTCATAGTCATCATCCAAATTTTGTTGGCAATATCATCTTCTTGAATTAGTAGTTTGGCATAATTTACTTTTCCTTGGCAGGTACTCACTATCAAAAGCAGTCTGCATTGCTTTTGTGTTGACATTCTTCAGTGCCTTTGATGTGCCTGTATTTTGGCCAATTTTGTTATTCTATTGGTTGGTACTGTTTGTTTCAACGATGAAGAGGCAAATAATGCACATGGTCAAATATAAATATGTGCCCTTCACATTTGGCAAGCAGGTACATATAAAATTTAGCTCCTATTACATTGGTGTCTTTTCACATCATCCGGCCTGCATTATCTCTGTACTTTACCCATAATATTCTGAAAATGATTGGAAATACTTCTTTTCTACAGCGTTACGGGAAGAAAGCGCCATCAACTGATGAGAGAAGTGTTTCCAAACCTTGAGGTTCAAAGCAGATTTGAGCTTTTTATGGTGGGGAATGAATTTGTTTTAGATACAAATTCGCCTAGATGGCTGTATTTTTTCACCGGATAGGTTTCTGAGCTTGGGTTATGTCATTGAATATATGATTATCAATGAATTCTTAGATTATAAAACTTAGTTCTCCTAGAAGCTGCCACGCATCTTGATTCTTTCGTTTATCTGTAAGCTAGCCTCTGGATGTCAATATTCATTTTCTGAGCTCATTCTTGAACCGCTCTTATTCAATTCAACCTTACTAGTTTCTAACTGGTTTCACATCCTTGTTGAAGTTCTTGTGAAATTGTCAAGTACTGCTGCATATTAATTTTTGCCGATAAATTGTCATGCACCATAGAGCAGCGAAAACTAATCTTCCAAGGATTGATGCCCTATATACCATTTCTCATTTTGATTCACCTCTAGTAGAAGATATTTTCTTGATCACTATTGAACTGCTGCTAACCATAGGATTTCTGCTGGTTGTAATCTCTGTGTTAGTGTAACGAAAGTGAAATCTATAATTATGATGCAGCACTTCTATATGATGGAAAGGGACGGTATAAGCATAGGAGTAATTTTTTGAGTTTTACTGTTGGAGATTATAGAATCAATTTTAGGGGCATGAATAGAGGTTGTCATTGGTATCTTTTATCCTGGAAAGATAGGACAATTATTATGTGAGGGGCTTGGAGAGTCACAAAGTCTGTAGACCTGTCTTCCATGTGATGCGCGCTGTTCTCAAGTCGATGGTTATTTTTCAATTACAGGGTCGAAAAGTAGCTGCTTGTGAATTTTATCCCATTTATAATATACTTAGGTCTTCATTTTTGAGGATAAGTCAAAAATATGATTCTAAACTTGAGCAGACTGGATAATATTTGATCTTGATATGCATTCATCCCACCCAGTATGATTTGAGTATAAAATTATCTCTACATTTGGTACATAACATTATTGTAGAAGGGAAGCCTAGTAGTCTGTACAGTGATGCAATGTATAAAATGAATGGTTGCATTTAAAAGGGGAAATGGGTCACTTTCAGCTTAGTTCATTATGAATGTAATGCCAATTACTTTAGAAGATTGGTGGAGGACCACCATTTATTTTGCCAGACTCTATCCCAAGTACAAATCTTTGGAATCTTTTGGTTCTCCTTTTGGGGGTTGCCAATTTGTACAGATGATTTGCTGATATTATTAATCTGAAAAAAGGGGTTTGCATTGTGATCATATGCTTACTCATTTGTGTAAGCGGAGTTCAATTACGTTAGTGATTTCTTTCCATCTGTTTAACATCATTGGACAAAGCTATATCAGCAACCTATGCTAGTGTGAGGCGGTAGGTATTCAATATAATAATTAAAGTGCACACAAGTCGAAGGGGATTGCAGAGAGGGGTCCCTCAACTTTGGAGATGAATAAAATGCTATATTGATAGCTCAAAAAAAAAAAAAAACAGAAGGAGAGGGTAGGTTTGTGGTCTTCAAGGGAACAAAAAGTTGGTTAAGTATTCATTGCTAAGTAATAGTAGTACATAACAGTTTACTTCATAAGAGTACAGTATTATAATAGCTGATTTGAATGATAAAACTGGCTGTTATATTTTCAGCTGTCAGTTCTGTCACAAAAATGACAGTCCTTGCATCCATCACTAACAGTGTAAGTGAGCCTATCATATCCTCTGTTAGAAAGTCAGTCTGGTGCCCGAAGTATTCCGTGTTTATACAGAATTCAGTGAAGGACTACACCATGGTCAAAATGCATGAAGAAGTAAAGGGGATTCAACATATAACGCATATACTCTAATACGCATAGAACAAAATACTTATCTACACAGTGCTATATTTCAGCGAAAGGGTGGCCCCCCACTGGCAAGTAGTCTACTCTGATTTAAAGCATCAATGCTTGATTTCACAACTCAAACTCGTGACCATACGAAGACAATTTTATTGTTAACCCAACATAAATAGAGTAGTATAAAAAAAACAAGAAAAACAGTTGTAAGTAAGTTGTTTCACTTAAATTCATCAATTTCCTTCACACACTCATATTAAAGGCAATAAAAATTCATCTTTTTTTCTCTCAACAACTTTTGTGATTTGAAGTAAAACACTGTGCAGCTTTATGTTCTTTTTGTTTCTCTAGAACAAAAAAGAAAAGAAAATGGAAGGTGGACTCCCCATGCTAAATTGTCTGTTACAACACACACTTAGAAGTCTCTGTACTTGCTCTGACTCTTCTTCTAATGCTTCTGAGTGGGTCTATGCTGTTTTCTGGAGAATTGTCCCAAGAAATTATCCTCCACCTAAGTAAGCACATTTTAATAATCAAAATTTGAACATTACTAATTACACAAGAAGAATAGTGTTAGTGAATTGTTCTTGATTTTTTGTTGCAGATGGGATCATGGAGGAGGCTTGCTCGATCGCGCTAAAGGAAGCAAGAGAAACTGGTAATGATATTAGTACTAGGAGTATTTGTTTTTGTAAATTGGAGTTACGGGATAGTCAACCAACTGAGCTACTAAGAATCATCTGTACTAGTGGTATTTGTGATTTTTAATTTGTGGGCTAATAATTTGATTTTATTTTATTTCAGGATTCTTGTTTGGGAAGATGGTTTTTGTGACTTTTATGAATGTGAAAGATCGAAAAGGGAATATGTAACGATAAATTTTGGTCCTGAAATCTTCTTCAAAATGTCTCATGAGGTTTATTCTTTTGGTGAAGGGTGAGATATTTCATTTTCTTGTTTAATGAGTAGAATGAGCTGCAATTCCCTAAGCACATGTATTAAACTTTGTAATATAATTTTCAGATTGGTGGGCAAAGTTGCAGCAGATAATAGTCACAGATGGGTGTTTAAAGATGCCCCAAATGAGAAAGATTCAAACTTTATTTGCTCATGGAATATGTCCATTGAAGCTGTAAGCACTAGTAGTTCTCATTTCCTCTTCACCAATGGCGAATTCAAGATTTAAACTTTTTAGTATTTATTTTTAATGTTTAGTGATTTTTCCTATATATATCTACGTCCCTGTCAAAAAATATTGAGTTCAGATGAACCGGCTCAACTCGCTCTCCCTCCTTTTACAATCCTTATGAGTTTTGTGTTTGTTCTTTTTTGCCAGCAACCAAGAGTCTGGGGAGTTCAGTTTAATTCAGGCATTCAGGTAATGAAAGTTCAGCTAATGAGAAAAATATTATTACTCTTTATGTCATTTCAAAGATCTTAATTTAGGAAAGTTTCTGTTTTTTTGGCAGACTATTGCTATCATATCTGTTAGGGAAGGCATAATTCAGCTTGGCTCATTTAATAAGGTGTCTCTCGTCTCGTATCTATTGCTACTTGACGCGATTTGTTCCTTCTTAACGCTACGCCATTCATGTGTTTTCACTAATAACTGGTTCATATGACTACTTGTAGGTATTTGAAGATCATAATCTAGTATTAAGCATTCAGAGGAAATTCAGCTACCTTCAGAGCATACCGGGCATTTATGCAATTCAGAGACCTTTTTTGCCAATCCAACATCGATATACTTACAAGCCAAACAATGTCACTCTAGTTAACGAGACGGATTATCAAATGGATGACAAAAACCAGCTAATTGGGTCGAAAAGAGTTCATGAGTTTCCGTTCAAGTCTATTAACTTTGGCTATAATAGCCCACAAACCATGGCTAGTCTACCTTTGTGGTCGATGCCTATAGCAGCACCGTCTTGTTATGGTAATGCAGTACATGAGATGAGTTCTTTACACGACAGAGTTACGAAGAACACTACAAGCAAGGATGTCAAGGTTGTAGATGAATTAGGCCATTTTAAGTTTGAGACAGCTGAGGAAAATGACCAATTTTCCTTAAACCAGAACTTAGGCCTGGAAAATAAGGTAGTTGAGGTTGGTTTTAGACAGTTGGGAAAAGGAGGGGCTGCTCCAAATCCAAATTAATTGCAGTTTAGTGCAAGTAACAAACTGCAATGGGGTCTAATTACATAGGGTCCTTTTGGTGGTTGTTAATTAGCTTTAACTTGTTGATAAAGTATTGAGTAATTTGTTTGTATGGTATTGACATAGTAATCTTTAACAATTTGTTCTGTTCATATTATTTATTGGATATACATTTTCTAAGAATTGGGAACATATTGTTTGGATTTACTTTTTTAGTGGAGACGGATCTACAGTGTAATTTATGAATTCACGTGAACTCAATAACTTTTATCAGGAATTAAGAAATCCCGTGGATAGCTATAAATATTTGAATGTGAACTCAATTATTATGTATATATTAACTTGAGGCTGTTGTAGGCTTATGTCATTGTTTTTTTTACATAAGTTGGTCATCAGAAACCACCTCTCTACCAGGTTCTCTCTACCTCAGACATCACTCGTAGAATCACACTGAGTAAGCCGTTGTTTGCCATTGTGCACCACTTTCGAACTATAGAGACGTCAGAGCCAGGATTTGAAGTTTATGACTTTATGAGTTTGGGATTTTAGTCCTTTTAACTTTTAAATTGATGAGTTTCAAATTAATAACTTATATACATTGAATGAATATTTTAAGACAAAAATAAAGTTCGGAGCAAAACTAATGGATTGAGCTGAACATGTAACCAGAATCCTAGCTCCGCCCCGATTCTAAGGTTGTAAAGTAAGGTAAGGGAAGAAAATTATTGTCCTTTGAAAGAGTTTCCCTAAATGAATTGTCAGCTACTGTCCTTCCATTCAAGAATTTAATTACTACCTATCACATCACTGGTTAGATCAGCTCGATGTTGATCTTTGCCCTACTTGTTAGTTGTTTCCCACTTTTCTAATTAAAAAAAAAAAAACAGTTACACCAAATTATTAAAAAGGACCAGCTCTGGACCAATGCATTCACTATTAATATGTTAGTACTCCCTCCGTTTCGTCTCATATTAGTTGTCCATTTTCATCTTTACACGTCTCTTATGAAACTATAAATAAGGACAGTTTTATTGATTTGAAACGGTAGGAGGACAATTAATAAAGATTAGGGAAGCAAGGTTCAAGATTAGATTCTATATTTAGGAAGTAATTATGATATATGAGTCTTAATCTTGGAAAGTAATTAAAACAATAAAAATAGACAGACAAAGCAAAGAAAATTGTAGCACAAAGACAGTATGGATGGTCCCTAGCCTTGGTATTTTTTCCTTTTCACTATTTTGGGGACAAGATGCTAATTATATTCCATGAAAATGTGAGTACAGATTTAATAATACGTGTTGTTTTATATATGCTCTTTCAAAGGGTCCCTACGTTACCAAAACGTTACACCCTTAGAGAGTGCATAATTAGAGTGCAGTTTTCAGGTTCGACTGAATCAAGTACATTACTAAAAACAAAGATTTTTTTATCACGAATTAATATTTTGAACTCAATTTTTATCGAACCAGCTCACTTGAAAGTCATATGGTGGAAAACATAATTTCACTAAAATACTGGAAAGCTTCCTAATTTTTCATGTAAAAAAGCTTCTATTTTTATTTATTTATTCACTGATTCAATCAAAATATCTATAGGAATAATCATTGAACATTTCTCGGTGGGAAATTTCAAAGGGAAAATAATGATTTTTTAGTAATGGTAGCTTTAGTCCAAATATGTATTTATCTTAAGAAATTTATTAAATATATTATATGTACAAATTGTTCCTTTAGTATCCAGTAATTTAAAAAAACTGAAATCCTAAACCATAAATTTCAAATTTTGATTTGGTTTTCATAATTCAGGTTCAATATATGATGAAACTTGTACCATTACGAATGCATACAAGTAGGCCAAAATGCGAAACGAATTAATTTAGTATCAAAAAGAACAATCTTAACAAAGAAAAAGTGGAGTGGGACCTACATTACACGGACCTCTCAAAAATTGTTGTTACACTCGTGTCGCATCTTCTGAAAAATGCTCTACTTTTGGGCAATCTGACACATACCTGACAACATTTTTGGAGGGTTCGAGCAACATAGACTAAGACTACTAGCTACTCATATGATAAATCTTGTTAGAATCAAATTTAAGAGATTGAAATTTGGTGTTGAGAAATGCCTGAGCCATCATATTACCAAGTTGGATTTGGCCTTGAGTTGTGAGATGAAGCCCATCTGATTCCACTGGTAGACCATTAGCATCTACTTTTATTACATTTGGAAGATCAATATCCATCTGTGCTTGTCTCACTACATTTACAAATTTAAATTTTCTATCAAATGGTTTTTTTGGATAACGTAGAACAACCTGCAAAAAATAAGTGTTTTAGTTTACTTCTCTACAAAAAAAAAATGCAGATTATAACCAATTGAAATACAATGGTAGTGTAAGAATTATTCACCATGCTATTGCTTATAGGTTTAAGAAAATTGAAAAGGAATTCTAGTTGTTTCGATTGAGTTTAAGTTGTGTACGTTAACATTATATATATTGTTTACATCATTGGGTGAAATTGAACTACAACAATAGGTAACTCTTCATATCATTTATCAAGACTTTTCATATGATAGACTAGAAAAATAGGTAACTCTGAAAAATGAGAACCACAAAAATAGAGCAAGAACATGTTATATCTAAGCTAAATAGCATAGATAATATAAAATAATTACACAGTCAATATATATAACTTAAATCCGTGTTAACTAATAAGGATTATCATCTTACACAAAAAACATTTGAAAGAGAAAACTAGAACAATAATGTTTTCAAATTGATACTTATACCTTGAATTTGTTCAAAAGCATGTATAGGTTCAATTCTTCAAGAAATGTTGCAACTTGCAAGCACAATAATAGAATGAAACCTAACTATACTACACAACTAACAGGAATTAGCTATGAAATTCATCGCTAAATAGCCAGTAGCTAACATGATTTTTTTATTACCCTTCACAAATTTGTCGTTAAATATGATTAATGTAGGTTTTGTACCAAAATAGTAAAAGAAGTATATATTGTTTACCACAATAACAGGAAGCAGAGGAGAATTCAAGTCATCGCGTAAATCTTGAATGAACTTTATCACTTTGGCTTTATAATATCTTGCTGTATACTTATCCTTTGTATCACTTTCACCATGAAACCACAATAATCCTCTAATTGTTCCTCCATGTTTTAATGAAAACTTAGCTCTACTTATCAATTGATCATAAGGCATATTACCGCGAATCCACGCATGAATTCCAGTACCTGATTTAGAACATGGCACTAAACCAATAACTCCAAAATTTGGATCTTGTTTAAGAATTGCATTAGCAAATGCCATTCCAGGACCAACTCCACAATTATGAAGACAATCAACCGCGTAATTAAGAGGTTCATGTGCAATTTCCCACTTGATAGTTACACTTAATCGAAGAATATTGTTTGGATTAGGTTGACATTCACGAGGTATTATACCATCCCATGTAAAGTTGTGTACACCTCCTTGCCCTGCCATGTTGCTTTGTCCTGCTAATATGAATATTTGTTTGTTCAATTTGTCTGTGCTTCGATTTGTAATTAGTAGATGATGTTGATAGTTATGACTTGTAATCCACCTTAAGTAAAACAGAAGAAAAACAAATATCAATATTAACAATATTTCTTCAGATGCATATTGTAACTTCTTGTTGAAATTGAACAATATCGTCTTCATCTTCACCTTCATTTTTGATATTGTCCCAGCTATAGTTGTACTTGTTCAATTGTTCTTGTGGTGGAAGAAGCAAGAATAATCACCAGACATTAATTAGAAAAACCATAATTAAAGAAAAAAATTACTAGCAAAATGCTAAATAGAAACGACTGTGTGATTTGGTTATAATGGAACTTTTTCTCTTAGATGGAATAATCTGATCAATATGCAATAACATATATAGGCTTCATGCTAGGAGGATAAATTAGTGGAATTAGTGCATGAACCATAAATTTTCCAAATTAAGAGGATACTTGCATCTTTTATTATAGGCTAGGCGGATGAAGCGTTACTGCACCTAGTTCATCTGAAATTTAATACTTTTGACGTGAAACATAACTTTATGCATAAAAATTTAGTACTAAAATTGGAACCTACTATTTTGAAAATATGATCATTCTAAAAAATTTACGGATTAAATTCATAGAGCTTAAATCCTGGATCAGTTTACACTAGTAAGGTTAGATGGAATGTCTTTGAAAAAACTCCCATGTTGAGTAATCTGTCTTGACAATGGGTGCATTAATCTAAGCGAAAATAATCTGCACAATGAATTCTTGAAATAGGCTTGTTGACACCCAATTTTGGACCTCCACAATATAAATTAATCATCGAGCTTCTTAAAATTCCAAACTATTTGAAATAATTGACTTTATAAAATTTAAATTATTTTCAAGTTAGTTTTATGTAATTTTGTCACTTTTTTGGAATATTTGAATAATACGTGTATATATTTTATATAATTAGGATATTTTATAAATATTTAGAAATCATTCCAAAAAAGATTTTGTTTTAATTAAATATTTGATTAATTAGTTTGGTTATATAATAGTTTATATGTTTAAATCATTCGGTTTATAATTAAGTTAATTATTTCATTTCGTTAAGTTTAAGAAGCTCCTTAATTAATCTTACTTAAATTCATCTTAGATTTTAACCGGATTTGCAAATTAAATTCAATGCAAACTATATTGTGAATTTTAATTGGCTATAACCTTAATCCATTGGCCAAATCCCCAATTTAAAACCCAATCAATTTCTTCAACTCATTTTGAGACCAAGAATTTGGGCCCTATATCAAAACAACCAGCAGCCCAACTTCATAATACCAAACTGACCCAATCCTAAACTCATTACTATAACAACAACAATATATACAGAAACCCAATCCAATCCCCTAATTTTAATAACCCATTCCAGCAGCTTCCAACGTCAATAATACGGAATCAAATTCACGGCGTCTTCACGGCCAAGACACGCCAGAAGCAACTAGCAGACGGCGTCATCAATTTCACATTGACCAGGTGGTATCCACACAGAATAGTTGATCCCAAGCAGCAGAGAACACGGTAGATACACGGCGTGAGGAAGCGAGCAGTACGTTGCAATTTTGTCTCTTCTCCAACGTCCCTTTCGATTATTAATATCGCAACAGCAAGGGGACAGACGAGTGGTCTATCTCACCATTTCCACTTCCGGAATGGTTGGAAATCCTCAGAAAAAGGTGTTCCCCTAAAATGGTGAAAGAAGTTTTTGAGTTTTGAATTTTGAATTTGGCCTTTTGGATCCGATTTTTATTCCTTTCCCCCCAAAATCAGCCCGAGATAATCCTTATATGTATTCCCTTTTGTTCACTGTGGAAGGGGGGAATTTTGGATTTGATTTTTTTCCGAACGAAATAGAAGTCATATTTTCTTGGCAGAGACAAACCTTTAGGAACAAGTAGTAATACACTCCTGAATAGAGATTTGCTAGGACCTCTGCCCAGTTTCCGTGACTACCGTTCGTGTTCAAGTCTTTCTTGGTGAAAGCCGTCACTCCTCTGCTCGTCCCGCCTCTGTTCGCTGCCCAAGACGAGGTAACACTCCTTCTCGATAATACTTTCTCCATCTCTTTACTTATTTTGATTTGCTAGGCGGGGAGGATTCTTAATCTGGGTTGATTTATTATTGTGTACCTTTGAGTTTATGGTAATCGAATATGATGTATATGTGTTTAGATGATTTCATGAGTCGTGTTAGTGGCGACTTAAGTTTCTATCGTTCTGCATATGATATTGCAGCTTCTCTGCCGCTTTATCCAATTCTGTTTCGTGGTTTCACTTCTCAAATTTGCCTCATGAATGTTGTTGAGCTTATGTCTTGGCTTAGTATTCGATGTCACAATTTTCCTTTTTCCACCTCAAGTTGGATAAAGGAATTAAGACGTCGAGATTTCGAGTTTACCTCATCTTTTCTACTCGTGTGTGAGTCTTAGGAGTCGAATATTTGTACAAAAAATTATTTGTGTATATCTATGCTCTGCCGGCTTGAGTTTTATTTTCTTCTCCACCTCTTGTGAGTTTGATCTGAAATAATGCTTTCTGTCTGAGGGTTCATAGAACATAGCTCGTATGTGACTAATTAGCCGTGCTTTATTATTTGGTCCAAGTTGAAATCTTTTCATGGTACAGTGGTGGTGTCTTGCTCCTATATGTATTACAAAGTGTGAACTATTTCCTTTTTCTTCAATCCTAATAACTTATGCTGACAAAATCTTATTTTAGAAAAAAAATCATGGCATATACTCTAAATTCTTTTGTATTCTACTGTGTGCTCTCTTTAAGGAAGGCCAAGAGTCAATGAAATCATTTCCATTTCTAAAGCACTTGTAGTGATTCATTCTTTGATATTATTACATTTTTGTTATTTTAATAGTGAGGCAGTAAATGAGTTTCTTCTTGCTTCGGAATTTGACTTTGTTAAATTTGAGTTTACATGACTTTCATTGCCTTTGAGTGTTGTAAATGCCATTTTATTAGTTATCGTTGATTGGACTTTGTTTAAGGTTGGGTTTAGATCAATCAAATTTCGTGTGGTTATTTTTGTTTGTCTTATCTTTATGAGTAGATGCTAACTATTATCTACGTGCTCTTTTCATGTGAAATATCCCTCGAGTCTCCTTGGGCTCATATCTCTTCTCCTCGCATTTTCCTATTGGGCCATAAAGGCCCAATACTCTTGTTCACTGAGTCAGCCAGCAAGAGACTGAAGCACAGGCCCTGGAAGTCCAAAAAGCAGGCTGTATACATGTTATATACAAAGGAATATGCAAAATATATGCAGAATATACAATGATATACAGGTCGAATGCAGCAAATACATGGCCAAAAACATAAGTACAGGTGCTGGAAGTTGCAGTGGGTTGTATACATTCGGTATACAGCTCGAGATACAGAAAACGGGGCTGATATACGAGTTGTATGCACCGATATACAACTTGTGTATACAAAAAACGAGAATGGATTTCAAAGTCCAAAAATCAGCATCTTAGGCCCAAATTTGAATATTTTCCTTCCCTCTCTTACTTATTTTATTGTATTGACTAACACCTTAATTATCTTATGGTTTAACTTAATTAAATTCCCGAAGATAGTCATTTCCTTTTAGGTATATATATATATATAT